TGGTTTTGGTTGTTGGTTTAATCATACGATCACAAAGATTGTTAGATGCCTGAAAGTGATCATTAGCCTTTTTAGGGATGTCTTTAATGTAGGAATTATTTGCAAGGTTATTGCCTACTTCCTTTTCTTTTAACTATCCTTTATTTTGGTATTATGGTAATAACTGAATTTTGGCAGTTGGGAAATATTCAATTTGACATTGAAAAAAAATCTTAATTTCATTTGATTTGGAATGGTTAGGATCTTTACCAACTCATACATTTTATTGGCTGATCATAATAAAAGCCACACAGCAAGTTAAATTATTATCCTTACTTTTTACTTTAATCTGTTTCAAGGTTGAGCATGTTCGTTCTGAGAGAAACTTACTTGCCGAGGTTGATAGCCGGTGCGTTGTAAAGCTGTTCTACTCTTTTCAAGATTCTGACTTCTTGTACCTTATTATGGAGTATTTACCGGGTGGTGATATCATGACACTTCTAATGAGGGAAGATATTCTTTCGGAAAATGTAGCACGTTTCTATGTAGCAGAGAGCATTTTGGCTATTCATTCGATTCACCAACACAACTATATACACAGGTATTGTGCTACGTTAATATGTTTCTAAGATTATGATTTTCTTGAATGTATGTTGACATGTGGACTGTAATCAGTGAGAGAATCTTAACTAGTTGCTGAATATATGGAGGACTTAAAATACTTGAAAAATCTCTTTGTGGATATTTATTCTTGATCATGTTTTTCTTGTAGGGACATTAAACCAGATAACTTGATACTAGATAAGAATGGGCATTTAAAGCTTTCAGATTTTGGCTTGTGTAAACCCCTAGATGACAACTATTCGACAACTTTGTTCGAAGATGAAGATTTAACTTTCCAAGATGCTAGTGAAGCTGTGATCCAGTCTGGATCTGAAAGACCCCCTTGGTTGATGCCAAAAGAGAACTACAACAATGGAAACGTAACCGCCGTGCATTGGTATTATCTTTACAACAATGGAAACTTAACCCCCTTGGTTGATGCCAAATGAGCAACTATAGCATTTTTACGTTTCAGATTTTATGTTTGTTGCATTTCTTAAGCAGGTATGTCATTCCACTCAGTATCAGCTAATGTCTGGCTTTTGTAGGCATATTCAACTGTTGGAACTCTTGATTACATGGCTCCTGAAGTTCTATTAAAGAAGGGTTATGGGATGGAGTGTGACTGGTGGTCTCTGGGCGCAATCATGTATGAGATGCTCATAGGCTATCCTCCATTTTGTTCTGATGACCCTCGAATAACATGTCGAAAGGTGTCACAGCACCTAGTTTTTGGTTCTTTGTTATTCTGTTACCCTCCTTTTTTTCTCTAGATGGTTATATTTTTCTCTTGGACAGATCATCAACTGGAGAGCTTGCTTGAAATTCCCCGATGAACCAAAAATATCTGCTGAGGCTAAGGATTTAATATGTAACCTTCTTTGTGATGTTGAAACCCGCCTGGGCACCAGAGGGGTAGAACAATTGAAGGTAAGTCCTTTCAGTGATAATAAATGTTTCTTTAATATTAATATTGGAAGAGGCCCCTTTATGTTTTCTGTACCTGTTTTAATTGCCAGATACTTTTGCACCAAGCATTCATAACAAGTAAACATATTTCTCCCAACTGAAGACTGCATCTAGATTTTAATTTTGTACATTGACAAATTAGTTGTGCCATCTGCAATTTTTAGTATTAGATTGTTTACTTTCTTGGTTTGATCTTCTTATTATTTTGTTCATTTATAACTTTGTGGTCCCAAAATTTATCAGGCACATCCGTGGTTCAAAGGTGTTCAGTGGGAAAAGCTGTACGAGATTGAAGCTGCATACAAGCCAACAGTCAATGGGGATTTGGACACTCAAAATTTTGAGAAGTTCCCTGAAGTGAGTACTTTAAATGCTAATTAATATTCTTCTCAACAAATAAATAAATGGTAATGTATCAGAGTTATACCCTTTAATGGTAATTTTTAGAAGTTCTCAAGATTCGTGATATCCTTCCTACTTTGAATTTTGAAGCACTTTTAACTTAATGTCTCTTCCCCAATGGGATATTGAGAGTTTCTATAAATTGATAGCTTTCTCCATTCTATTTTAACTAAAATGTGGGAAACGGTTGGTTTTGCTTGTTACACCTTTTAGTTTTTTTTTTCTCTGATAAGTTGGAAATATTTTTGCTTTTTTGAGTGAAAGTTTGAAATTTTGTCTTCTTTTTTCCTTTCAGTGAACCTAATTTTACTTTATCTTTGCGTTTTTGGTAGAATGATGGCCCTCCCTCCTCGATACCAGAAGTGGGACCTTGGAGAAAGGTAAAGTCCTTTTTCTCTCCAATCTTCATTTTCTTTCTAGTAAGATTTGTAGTACTATATCATACTAGAATGATTTTGAAACGTTTTGATATGTTTTTGTTCATTTGATGGTGCAGATGTTGGCATCAAAGGATAACAATTTCATAGGATTTACATTTAAGAAATCAGACATTGTTAAGTCACTTGAAAGTCCAGGTATACTTTATATGCTCTAGTGCATTTTTTCTCCTCCTTTTTGACTAGCAGCTCTGGTGCTGTATCTTCACTAAAGGCTGGAGCTGCTTCAGTTTGGTTAATGGTGGAGTTCGCAGTTCATTGTTTTTTTCTGACAAGTTCAGATTAAATGTCAATGCCTTCCCATTGAGAAAATCCTGTCAGGTGCAAAGCCGCGGGCATCTTTTTCTCATTTTACAGATATAGCACTCATATATAAGTTATGGAATTGCTTCTTTTTTTTATACAATACAGAGATTCTCATGCCGCAGTTTTGGTGATCGTACTCGTTTACTATTCTATGATGGCATCATGAGTTGACAAACATGCAACTATTTTGTAATCATCATTTTCCGTATGCATTGCAGGAACCGATATGAGATCCAACGGACCTTCGAAAGCCCCGTCTATCATTTCCTTGCTAGGTATGAGATATATCTATATCTATATATATTCCTGAAAGTTCCTCACCAACACGAGGAAGAAACTTCCTTATTCTACCTTTTTTGTTTTTGTCGAGAATACTAAGGCATTGATGAAATAGTCTTCCAAAGACAAAGAACACCATTGCTGGGTAATTTATCGTCCTAGTATGGCTGGTTGCCGATTGATGCAAGGAGTGCATCTTCTTCACTGAGTAGTTACTACATATGCCTCATGTAGCATTAAAAACCAGCTAGTTGCTCTCGTTTTACCAGAAAGCAATATATATCATAACTTAATTTGCCCCAAAACTGATCTTTCTATAATATCTAGAATAGTTGTTTAGTATATCAACAACATTATTGTATCTTTGCAGAAGCTGGAAAGTATGAGCTTTATTTGATCATGAATTCCTTTTACCATTACAATTTACAGGTCGAATCGACATTCAAGAAACAGTAATGGCAGAGAACGAGCAGGAACAAGAAACTTGAATCTGAACACACTCTGCTGTTGACATCTGTGGGCATAGAGTTTCGTCTCACTCGGGTTAAAATATCTTATGAGGTGGAATTAGTCAAAGAAGTGGTGCTTGGAGACATTAATAAGGTCAAGTAAAAATAATTTCAAATCACCTTTAACCATACTCTTGTTTTCTTTTCTCAAAAAGTTGTGGTTGTATGAGAGCCACTGTAAAGCCCAATATAAGTTGAATCCATTTTGACTATAATTTTATATTTTCAATTCTTTAACCAAGAATTTTTCTTGTATGATGGGTTAAGGAAATTTGGTGGCTATCATGCTAGTTTAGCTTTTTATTTCAGTATGTTGGTTTATTATTTTTTATTAAATTAAATATTTTATTATTTATTATTAAATAATGTATTATATGTAACGATTAAATTGATGAAATTTTAAAATATTTTTCTTAAAATATTTTTTTATAAAAATCGTTAATTTTATTAAAAATGAATATTGAATATTATGATGAAAAATTATTATCATAATTATAAACTAAACATAATTAAAATATTTTATGATAAGTCTATAACTATTTATACAGGAAATTAGTTAGGCAAGACCAAGGAAAATGCTAGATCTAATAAAAAACTGAACAAAAGTTAGATAGAATATATTTGATTGCATCAATAAATAGATCATAGAAAAAGATCAAATTATTTTATTAAAAGATAATTGACAATATCATAAATCAAAATCGAATGAAATGAGATAATTATCTATAAATGTAAATTGTGTATCTAAATTTAGTTCAAGAGTCTAAAATAGAGAATATTAATATAATAATAAATAAGTGACATCTTGATTAATCGATATAGTGTTAAAATTTAATTTTAAAAATATATAAATTAAAATAGTTGTCAAATTTGAAAAAACATATTAAAAAAAGTATCATGATGATATAACAAAATCATAAAGATAATTTTAAAAAAATAAAATGTAATACGAAAAATAGAGAATAAAAATAACGTCGATTAATACAATTTTTTTATTAAGCTAAATTTTATCATAAAGTAATATTTGTTATAAATACTCTCAACTGATTAATAATGAACATTTAATCACTATTACAATCGTTAATACTTAAATCTATAATCTTTAAAAATAATAATAATATTTTTAATCATTAAAGTAAATTGAGTCGTGGACTAATGCAAAAACTAATGTCTCAATATAAATAGTTCATTCAATATATATTTATACAGAAAATAACGTAATAATCTTATTTCCAAGTTCCAACATAAAGAAATAAATAAATAAAGATGAGATATTTTGAAGAGCCAATAAATATCTGGCTGCCGTATTCTCTAACCTTAAGAAATGACGTGGCACAGTGAAGGTCCCATAACACGTGTAAAAGCGATGACAACTGTAACGTTCTTTCCTCCCTCCCATTAAACATCACCCCCTCATATCATCTTTCATTCTCTTCTCCGTTCTCCACTCTCACATATTTCTCTTTTCTCTAAAAGTAAGCAAAAACAAAGAAATAAAATTGTTTCTTATTCTAATATTCTCAACTCGGGATTTTTTTTTTTTGCATGGAGGGTTTTAGAAGAATTGAGTCTCGAACGAGTTCAGAGGCATCTGTCTCTGAGTTGATTCCTCAGATATCACCCGAGTTTGCTCACCATGGACAAAATCCAAGCCTGGTACACCCTCTTCTCCTTCGTCCTAGATCTTTTATGGTTATTGATTTATGCATCAACGAATTTGAGTCACGAGGTCTTTTTTCCTTGTTTGAAGGAAGTAAATTTGAGTGACATGGGTTTAGTTTTTAAATCAGCTAAATTTCCAAACTTCACTTTAAAGCACATAAAATTTTGTAAAAAACCCTCTTTAAATGGTAAATTATTATCATTTTGAATCATGCATATTTATAACTTTTATGTTTAGCATTAAAACTAAGGTTTTAAGAAGAAAAATGCAAGTTTCTATCATTAGATGTTTCTAACTTCCATGTAGCTTTGTTAGTTGGGTACCATTTATTGAGGATTTGTAACTTGGAAGCATAGAAAATTGATCATCCCTTTTATTTCTTCAAGAAGTTAAGCTACCTCACATTTTTTTTTTCATCATATATTTCATGATATTGATGCTATAGATGTAGTTGGCTCTAATCTGGTCTGCTTAATTATGTGTTTTTCTTTTTAATCTGGTTTGTTTACTGCTTTCTAATCTGCTTTACACAATCATTCGTTTATTTTGGGAAAACTTACCAATCAATGCTGTTAATGATAACACAACAGGATTCTCTGATGAAAGAAACTACCTCTATAGAATGGACAGATGAGAAGCACAGTTTATACCTTAATTCCATGGAAGCATCATTTGTTAACCAGCTATATGATTCTACGAATTCTCTTGGCTGGAACTCAAAGGAGAAATTGCCAGTATCAAAATCATCGAGGAAACCGCATTGTATCTCTTCAGGCCAGGTTGGAGTTTGATCTCTGCTTCTTGATAATGATGGAATTGCCTCTCTATCCCCTATGTCAATTCTTATTTACTGCATTTTCCAATCTTCAATGCAGTTTAAGGTCCTTCGAGGTGGTTTCTGGAAGAAGATCAATTTTGAAAGACCTGGATTTATACTAAATAAAAGAGATGGCTCTCATTCTTTTGTGGGGAGTCCTTGGATCCAACACTTCAGATCTGGGTCAACGTCTCGTGGTGTTTTAGCCTCTTGTAGTCTTCAAGATAACGGTTCATCCGAAGGTAATAGAACAGACAATGCTAATGTGAAAGAAATCAATTCCAGTTTATCAGCTTCTTAAACACTTTCATGCACAGTAAAACAGATCCCTGCAGTTATATTATGATGTGTGCAGGGTGTGTGCGCATTGTCAATAGTTAAAAAAGATTTTGAACAAATATTAGTTTATAATCACCTTACACTTTTACTTCATCCAATCTTATACTTGCTCAATATTAGACTTTTAAAGTTGATTTGTCTATGTTTAAGTTGAAGTGATATGACTTCTGTTTTCACCTCTAATAGAATCATGCTTTCTTTCTAGTATATGTTTGTGATGTAATGAAATAAATTTATTCAAGATTATCAGATGTATATGATATAGTATGATTACTATCCCTCTCTATACAGCTCAAAGCGTTAAAGCTTAAGTTCAATTCAGTTAGTCCCCATATTCGTATGGTTTCTCGTAATCATGGGCGTGCTTGTAAGTGAGAATGAGTTCTAGGCTTTCTTTACTTTGAAAAAAATGAATCATCCATTCAGTTCGGTAACATAAGATTGTTCTATGCATTTATTTGTTTTTAGTACAATAATGAATTCTCTATGTTGCAAAAGAAGTGATGCTTAAATTGATATCTTTCAATTACCAAAATAATTGAACTCTAACAGGTAGGTTGATTATTTTGCAGAGGTGTCGGATCAGAACTTTGTAGACGAGGAACAAGGTGAAAAAGACTAGCAGTGAATCTAGCTCAAAGAAGCTGAAAACTCTGGTAACTGATGCTTCATGCAATGATCAGGTAAAATTTATCATCAATGATCTTTTACTTGTATAATAGCTAAAGATTCTAAAAAGTAAATAATATAAATCACATATTTTAATCCTAAGCATCCAGCATTTTTATCATTTTGTTTTTAGGTTGTTCCATGAGGTGAAGTCTCGACCAGCTGCGATAAATGTCTCCATTAGAAAAGGAAAAGATTTGTGTAATTGCATCCTGATACAGTGAGCAAACAGATTCCATAGACGTTCGTTTTTGGTGTCAACATGTATATGTTATTAGTAATTTAGTGGATTGGGAGGATGTTCCCTGTTGCTTTGTTGATGTTGTTTTCTATATAAACATATATTATATCATACCCAAGGATTAAGAGATTGACGGGCAATCACATTCTTGAAAATTTTAAATTCTCATTTAATTTAGATGATTTTATATATATATTTTTTGTTGTCAACATATTTTCGTCTTGAAATGCTAAAAAGTAAAGCATAAAATGAATCATTGCACAGAAAGCATAAATCAATTCATAGGTATATGCGGAGATTCGTAATGCTTATACATTTTGTTGAGTTCAAATTCTTCGTTTGTCCTGAGAATGTAATAAACATGTATGTGCTTGTGTAGCCGCATGAATCAATTTCATTGACGGATGGCGAACATTTGTAAAAGTTAGATAATTAAATTAAATTACATCATAGGAACTACAAAGTATAATATAGGGACTAAAACCAAATTCCATAAGAAAAATGAAGTCATCTCAGGGACGTGGAATGTAACTAAAAGACGACGACGTTTAGTAAGTCAATGACGAGGGTGTTATCGTCTATTCCTTGTACGTTATCCTCTCCCACTCACAGCTACTCTGCTTCTCTCTCAAGGTCACAAAAAGGCCACTTCTTTGCAATCCCAATCCATTTCCCATAGAAATTTAGGGGGTAAAAATGGCCCTTTCTGTTTCTTCCCTAGCATCATCCCTTTCGTCTCTCTCTTTTTCTTCTCAGATTTCCCGGAATCCAAACACTATTTCAATTCCCCAACCTCCGAAAACCCTCACCATTTCTCTCTCCTCCAAAACCACCCGTTCCCTTTCCGTTGCCGCCACTGTGGCAGCCCCGGTCGAAGCGGAACCGGTTGAGAACCTCAAGAAATACGTTAAGTCCAGGCTCCCTGGTGGGTTCGCGGCTCAGACTATCATAGGGACGGGTCGTCGGAAATGCGCCATTGCTCGCGTGGTTCTCCAGGAAGGCACTGGGAAGTTCATTATCAACTACCGCGACGCTAAGGTAAAATTTGAACTCTTCAGTGTCTGGGTGTTCCTAAGAATTAATTAGTTGTCTTTCAGGTGTTTGATAATATGTCTGTGTTGGGATAATTCAACTTGAAGAAAAGTTAAGACCCAAAGACAACCTAAGAAGTCTGATTAACGTCATTATTTGACGCAGGAGTATCTTCAAGGGAACCCTTTATGGCTGCAGTACATAAAGGTCCCATTGGTAACATTGGGGTATGAGGCGAGTTACAATGTATTTGTGAAAGCTCATGGGGGTGGCCTTTCAGGACAGGCTCAAGCAATCTCCCTCGGCATTGCTCGTGCATTGTTGAAGGTGAGTGCGGACCATAGGAGCCCTTTGAAGAAAGAAGGGCTTTTGACCAGGGACTCCAGGGTGGTGGAGAGGAAGAAAGTTGGGCTCAAGAAGGCTCGTAAAGCTCCGCAGTTTTCCAAGCGTTAGGTGTTTGGGGACTTGAATTACACATTTCCTCTCATGGTTGGTTTGTAGAAAATACTCTCTCAGTAACATTTCCTGATGAATTCTTGCAAAATTTCCAAATTTTAGAACCCCTTTTTGTTGTAGATCTTATTCTTGTTTGCTGCATGAGAGCATTCTCTTGCATTTGTAGTTTATTCATCCATAAGCGAGTAATATTGTTAGCTTAAGCTTATCTTTCATTTTTGCTGATCGGGAAGTAAAGCTATCATCTTTAGTTTTATTATTGTTTTTCTCATTCATGCACTTATGAGGTCGTTGGCTCCGATGACATTGGATAGGGGAGAATTTATTGTCATTTAATGGTGACTTCGTAGATTAATATATTCATGTTAGTAGTTGATAGTCCCCCTAAAAAAAACAGTTTTCCAAACATGGTAAATTCCTTCCTGAACCATGGCATGCCTTAGCTGCTGCATATCCAAATTACTCAAAACACTGTTTTTCGTGGCACACAGAAGTAGCAAAAAAGATTGGCATTTAGTAATAATCAACTCCAGAATTATTAGGATTAATACCTAAAATCATGATGCGATTTCATACTATCAATGGTGGATTCCAAAAGACTAATTAGTATTTATCAAAGATTGTAATTCGCAAACAATTGTAGGGATTTTGAGTATTTACGTTATATTTTTGGTTAATAATATATAAATGTACAAATTAACGAAGGGTTGATTTTATTCATAAACTAATTTTTAGTTATTAACGCAAAAAACATAAGAAGAATACAACACCGATACTTGACAGTGAATATGAACAGGAATTAACAAAGGGATGATTTAATTTATATCCGACATATAAAATCATCGATTTGTCCATTTTTTTAGTACGAAGATCAAAATTTTAATCTGAATTGTAGTACACAGACCGTTACACTACTGTTACTTAATTATTGCATAAGTTTTAAATAATAACAAGTGTGGGCATTTGTGAAAAATCGTGATAAATAAGGATGATAATCATTTTCATTAGAGAATAAAGTAATTATCCATATAGTTATATCAGTTTTCACTCTTGTATTAAAAATTGAAGAGTGTGATTGGAGTTTTTGATTACACTCAATTCAATACGACCAATCAGTTATATCAGTGACTAAACATGCTATACATGCATAATTACATGTAATTATGCTAAAATCTAATTACAAGATGACTTCCTTGAAAAGAAATTGAAGTATTGAATTATAGTATGAAGTTTTGACTTCAATCCCTTTGCCTTTGGTTTTCATGTCCCAAACTTCAAATTGGCCAACCATCGTCATTTTCGTTTTCAGTCTGTAAGTAAATCTCTCCCAAATTTCGCACTTTGCTCAGTTAGTTTCTGCAGATGTAGACACTCGTTCTCGTCTCTAAGTACCAGAATTCAAAGGCTTCTGCTATCCACATTGGACTAAAAACTGGAAATGCTTATGCTGGGCTTCCAGATGTCTCAAAGTGTACATTTTTTCTTTGCTGAGTTTTATTATTTGTTCTGCCCTGCTTTAGTGTTTAAACTAAAGAAATGCTTGTTTGTTCTTTCAATTCAGTGTGTTTAATGCCTTAAGTGAAAATGTTAGATAGGGAATTTAGAGTGTGGATATTGAACAGAGGGAGGATAGTCTCTGCCTCTGGTTCTGACCCAAACTCACGTTTGAAACCCATTGAGCAGGAGAAATCTGGTGGGGCTATTAGTATATATGGTGGGGTGGAACCGTTTCGTGGTAAATCAGGTTATCGCTCCTCTCATTGCAATTTATGTGACTTGGCCGGGTCTTGGCTTCCCAGCGTTCGTTGCAATGGCTCCTTTCCTGGCAGGCTGTGCTGTTCAATGTTTTGAGAGGACAGTTGAAAATTTGCAGTCGTCTTGCTCCTATTGTTTTGGAGGTATTTGTTGTTTTACAGGATGGAGGACTTTATAATTGATATTGCAGGTGTATAGATTGTATCAGTTGACAAGAGCTACTCAATTCATTCAGCACCTTTTGTTATTGATGAAAGATTCGCCGGAGATGTTTGAGAGAGGCGGTGCACTTATCGAAACTTTCCAGGCCCTTGCAGTGGTTATTGATGACGTTTCTCCTTAGGCTGAACTATTGATGTTTGCAAGTTGATACTCATCCACGAAGCTGAACGGACCAATGCATGTTCATCTCAAGTACATAACCGGGAAAATAATGAGGTCACTGTCCAAAATCAGAACACAAATAGTAAATGGAAGAATATTTCTCTAATAATTTTCATTTTTTTCTGTTACATGACTTTTCGGTTACCAAAAGAGTAATATACCTAATATAACATTACTGATAGACTATTTTAATAACGTTATTCAATTAGATTAATATTAATTATGGTTGTTGAACTATTTAAATAGTCGACGGATTATTTTATAAGAAAAAGATTTTTAGCTGGGTAAACTATATATTTAGTCACCCACCTATTCCGATGGTTCCATTTTTATAACTTTTATTTTCGTTTTGGTCACTCGTCATTAAAAAATAAATAGAACTATTGATGTGAGTTTTTTTTTCCAATGATGACGTGACGTTGCCTTATAACAACATGTTTATACGAAAAGGACAACATACATTACGTAGTTAATTTTAAATAAACTTTAAAAAAAATCAAATTTGCTTCTGACTCCTTAGTTTATTTTATTATTCATACATTAATAAAATATATAGAAACATTATGTTTAATAGTTATATGTTTTGCAATTAAATTTAAAATAAAACTATTTAAATCATTTAAATCAAATTTAAATTAGATCAAATGGGCTCGAACTCGATATAGAAAGAAAAACTCCTTATCTAAACTCGATATATAGATTATTAACTCAACCCTATAGTTTTTTATTAATATGACTTATTATAAAATAATATTTATTTGAAAAATTCTTAATTATTTAATAACGAACATTTAAATATTTTTATTGACATCATATTTAAATTCAAAACCTTTAAAACTAATAATAATTTTTTTAATTGTTTAGATCGTTTGGTTCGAACAATTCAACTTTATAATTGAAAGATTGAAATTCATGGGGACCATATATTGACAGAAATTACAAACCTACCTTATTTTCTTTTTTCCTACGAAAAAAGCTACCTCATTTTCAGTATTAATTGTGGTGGACCTTTTGAAATGAAAAGGCGAAAAGGATATTTAACCAAAATGTAGTGGTTTTAATTTCTGAATTATGAGAAACGTGCTCAAAAATGACAACTGTAAATTTTGAATAAAATATTAAATTATATAATATCTTATCTATACTTGATAATTGTCATGAGTTTAATATCACTCGTTAATCGAGTAATAATTAATTAAGAATATTCATAAGAAATATTTTATTTAAAAAAATATATTAGTATTAAATTTTTGATGTGTCACAAATTAATCAGTTATGAATTTATTTAAAAATTATAAATATATATTTTTGTAGTTTTAAGAAAAATGAAAGATGCAAGTTATAAATGTTATTGAAGGTACAACCTTAAGGAAAAAGATACATTTTTTTAATTGGAACGTGGCTTTAACTCGATGATTTAAGTATACATAATTTTATAGTATAGAGGTCTTAATATATCTCTTGAAACAAACGATTGGATGTTGTTTGATATAGAGTCAAGCAATGAAACTTGATAGTGGTCGAGAGCGAATATCTTCGTCAATCGGTTAGCTACCATGTTGCATTATCTTGGGATCCAAAGAAGCTTCGTAACTCAGATTTAATTTTGAATAACTGAGATGATTTTTGCAAATGGAAGAAGACTGAAGTATGCAGTCAAGATAGAGACTAACTTCACGAATTCCACATCAGAACTATAACTCCATTTTCTAACATTCTTATTAAATTTGTTATTCATATCGATATTGAAATCTTCTCTTTCTCCACGTTGATATCCGAATTTGTCTGATTTCTTTACATTGCTGCCTTTTTTATAATGATGTTAAAAGGAATCCATGTGATAATATGAGGTTATATTGGATCATTATTAAATATATATATAAATATATAATAATTAAAATTAGAAACTTGTTTATAAATACAAATTTATCATCTCAAGTGTTGATGCGAGTCAAAATGAAATTCATATCAACATGCAGAAATAAGACAAATTTAAAAACTAAAATGCGACTTATTCAAATTTTAATTACTTTTAATTATATTCATAGTTTACAATTATTTAATCTATAAAATTGCCAACTTTACCTATAACTTTTTTTCTCTATTTTAATTAACACATGACCCTTTTTTATTTTCAGTTTCTAGACTAAATTATCTTATAAATATTTTTATTTTTTTCTTAAAAATACTTATTTACCATCTCCCACATTGTTTTCTTTAAATATCACATTACTTTTTACCTTCTATATCTTTTAATTCAGAGATAATAAGTAGGTCGTAATCTTTTTTTTAATTAAGCTAAAGGTGATTACAAAGTAGTATATGTTCTAAGTACTCTCAATTATTTGACAATTAACATTCAATCACCCTTGCAATCGTTGATACTTGAACCCATAATTTCTAAGAATGACAATGATTTTTTAACTATTAAAGTAAGTTGATTCGTGCAGGTCGTATTCTATTTTATTATAAAATATTTGATTAAATTTAATATCACAAGTTGAGTAACACTAACTATATTACTAAATTGTATAATTTTAAAATAATAAAGAATATGGTATATGCTATATTTGAGTCTAACGAGTGTAGCTAATAATTTCTGTTAACGTGTAGCTTTTTTTTATTGAACAACGTGTAGCTAATTTGTTAGAAATCAGTTGTATGTGTTGTATAGTTATTTATGATATGTAGTTAATTTGTTAGAATATTTTTTAATTATTTATAATATATATATCCTGTAAAAGTAATTGTTTGAATTTGAATCCTTAAAAAAATAATTTTTCTTTTACTATTAAGTTCACTCAATTGATTCATCTTGTATATATGACTTTATCTTTATTATAATATATTATAAGAATGTTAATAAAATAAGTACATTATTTGTTAACATGTTCCTAATATAAGGAAAATTATTTTGTTTGTATCTCAATTTACCTATGATATCAATATTTGTTTTG